AGCACTTGCAGAGGCTTTCTCCAAAGCCAGCAAAGTCCACTTCATTACACAGGCACAGGTAGACGTGCTCATTTTCTGGGGACGACCCTTCAACGTTACGGGGGTGGGCACCTGTGGATAAATGTCCCAGCCTCTCCTCCCTCCACGGGACGATGCAAAGGTGCATTGTCCGTCGCAGTTCCCTGCAGGTTACCCAGTGGGTGACCGGCAACACACAGCATCTTCAGTGGCCGTTCTTCCTCCCTCCCTCCCTCTTTCTGGATCGCTTCCCAAATAAATGATGGCACCTGCCCTGGACTCGACTCCGGCCAGCCTTGAGGCAAAAGCTCAGTCAAGGCTGTGGCTCTCCACGTAGCTGAATAGCCCAGGCTTCCTAGAAGGGTCCCCAGCCCCCCATGGCCTCATGGCAAGGAAGCTGAAAGCACTGGGAAAATGCTGGGAGCTAGAGAAGAAACTGGAAGAGGGAAAGATACTGGGAAATTTATACAATTCAGTAGGTCTAGAAAGAGCAGGAACCTGGCTGGGAGACTGCGGAAAGAGCACGCATTGAAAAATGTGCCCATGGCAGTCGGGAATCTGTCAACTGACAGGAGAGGGTTTGGTGAAGAAAACGAGCCGGAGCGCGGTGTCAAGCGGACAGATTGGCCCAATTAAGGCCCGGGGGAGGCTGGGGAGGAAAGTGAGTTATGGAGCCCTGGCCAGGCCTGGTGGGAAGTCTCGAAGAGCCACTCCCAGCAGGGTTGAAGCACTGAGTCCCAGAGGACAAAGGGGAGGGGAAGAATCTTGCAGAGGCGACGTACACAACTGTCTGCATTCAGGGAGGCAGGTCGGCATGTCCTCAGTGTGCAGTCTGTGAGGCACTGATGCTGTAAGACGCTTTGGAAAAAGGGGACCGTCTGTGGGAAGCCTTCCTCCGCCCTACCCCAGAGTCATTTTTTTAGCAAGCGCTCATGGAGTACCTCATCTACTCCAGGCATGGTGCTGGGATCATAGCAGTAGCAGACAGATGACATTTCTGCCCTCAGAAATGTTGCAGTGTTTGGGGGAAGAAAATCGTGAACTAAGTAATCACAATATTAGCTAACACTCGCTGCATGGCGGGCACGAGTTTCCACGTGTGATGTTATTGAGTCCTCACAACAACTTACGAGACAAGAACGGCATGACCATTCTTGTAGAGATGAGGACACAGGCACAGAAAGTTTCAGTGAATTGGCCAAGGACGAAAAGCAGCAGTGAAGTGGTAGAGCTATGACCCACACCTCAGCAGTCCAGCTCGCAAATCTGCATTCTGACCCACTACACGATAGGGCCTTGTACATGAAAGCCTCTGACAAGTCCTGCAGGCAAGAATGGCGATGTAATTTGCAGGAACCGAGGCAGAGTGAAAATGCACAGCCCGGCTGATGGCAGGGAAGTCGTTTACCCAGGGAGACGTCCTTTTCCCATGGTGCTTCAACTCACAGCACACAGAAGGTCCCCAAGGGGCTGTAACTTCCTTGGTGCCTGGGTGGGAGGTAGGTGAGACGGCCCCACTGAGCTGTCTCCTGAGATCCCGTCCTAGGGCGTGGTGCAGGGGCCACGGCGTGTGAGTCGAGGCACCCAGCTCCCTGACCCAGACGCCATTGTCCCAGGGGACTTCTCTCACAAAGCGCGACTTCAAAGCTGAAAGTATTAAGGATTTCTTGTTTTACATTGCGGCTGATCAAAAGAAGAGAAAAAAGCGAGGAAAAGAAAAAGAAAAAGATTATTACAAATTTTTTTTTTTGAGTTGGAGTCTCACTCTCCAACTCCGGAGTCCGGAGCCCAGACTGGAGTGCAGTGGCCGCTCCTGCCCACCGCAGCCTCGACTTGCTGGGCTCCGGCGATCCTTCCGCCTCAGCCATCCGAGTAGCCGAAACTACAGGTGCGCGCTACCACGCCCGGCTAATTTTTGATTTATTGTAGAGACGAGGCCTCGCCAAGTTGCCCGGGCGGGTCTCAAACCCGCAGGCTCAGGCAATCCACCCGCCTCAGCCTCCCAAAGGGCTGAGATTACAGGCTGAGCCACCGAGCCCAGCCTCTTAAGAATTTCAAGACAGCAACAGCAAAGCACCAGATGCCAAGTGCAGGCCCTGCTGAGCACTGGGCCCTGAGCCACCATACTAGGCGTAGGCCCCACGGCAGCCAAGGAAGATAGCAAAGGCTGGCCCTGGTTCAACACAATCCTCCACGCCTACTGCGGCACAGAACCCCATGGGGTTAGCGATCCATGGTGCCATCTCTTAACAAACTTAACCCCCCCTTTTTTTTTGAGTCAGGGTCTCACTCTGTTACCCAGGCTAGAGTGCAGTGTGGCATAATCACGGCTTACCACAGCCTTGACCTCCTGGGCTCAGGCAATCCTCCTGCCTCAGGCTCCTGAGTAATTGGGACTACAGGCACGTTCCACCACACCTAGCTAGTTTTTGCTGTTGCTGTTTTTTAGAGATGAGGTCTCATTGTGTTGCCCAGGCCGGTCTCGAACTCCTGGTCTCAACCAATCCTCCTGCCTTGGCCTCCTAAAATGCTGGGAGTACAAGCGTGAGCCACCGTGCCCAGCTTTTAAATTTCTTAATAGCCCTGTGAGTCAGGAAAGTCCAGGGTTAGCATCACTTTTCCCAGAGAGAGAAACTGAGGCACAGAGAGGAAAGTGTTTCACTTGAATACGAAGTTGGATAAGATGTTCTTTCCCCTGGAGGTACCAGCTTTCCCAAACCTCCAAGACACTTTGACACATCCTCTGCTTGTCACGCAGAAGACTCTAATGCTGGCAGGTTGCCAGCCTGCAGTTAGTATTTATTAGAAAATCTCCAGATATGCCAGGAGATTACAGACCAGCAAATTAGCTTAGTCATTTCTCTAGTTTATTTAAGGAGCTCTTTGCAAGCTCTGCAAAAAAACCCTTTCAAGCACAAGTTATGGGAATGGGTATTTTTTGGTGCCTCACTAACGCCGTATCGTCCTGAGCTCTTCCTTGGGGAAGAGCAGTCCCACCAGACTAAGAGGAGATTGCTGTCTTTAATGCCAACCGATAACTCCACCACCCCTGGGAAGTATGGCGGCCATCTCCAAGATGGCCCCAGTGATTCCTGGACCTCCTCCCACACTGGACAGGGTCTATCTGTGTAAACAGTAGAATATTGGAGAAATGACAGAGTGAATCCTAAGAGCAGGTCATGAAAAACATGGTGGCTTCCACCTTGCCTTCTCTTACATACTCGCTGTGGAGGAAGCCAGCTGTTGTAAGGACACCCAACCAGCCCTGTGGAGAGGATCCCATGTCAAGGATCTGAAGCTTCCTTGCAATAATCATCTTGGAAGTGAATCTTCCAGCCTCAGTCAAGCCTTCAGATGACTGTAGCCCTAGCCCATGTCTTGACTTCAGCCTCATGAAAGACCCCAAGCCAGAGTCACCCAGCTAAGCTTTCCTGAATTCCTGACACATAGAAGCTTTGAAATAATGGATCCCTGCTGTCATAAGCTGCTATTTGGGAATTATTTGTTACATGGCAATAGATAACTAATACACTTTGCAAAAAAGCTAATGGGAAATCTAGCTGCTGTGGAGGAGGAAGGGACTGCTCTTCTGGAATTAGATCTAAACACAGTCACATCTTTCAGCTCATTGTCTAGCGGTTGACACTGTCACTTCAAGCGAGCCCCAGGGGACACAGCAGTCACAAATGTTGGAGGGAGAAAGGAGAGGTGGGGAAGGAAACTTGAGTCACTGTCTGAGGCTTTCAAACAGGATCACTGTGGTGGCTTGTGGCTCTTTGTGGGACAGCATGAGGCCACACCCCTGGGGTGAGAAGCAACCGTACTTTAGCGATGCATTCCACAACTGTGATTATTACCCTGAGACTGTAACAGCAGTGACTGCTGAGCACTGTGCCTTGGCGCTTCTTATTGACTTCCAGGGCCTTACCTCAACTCACCCACAGTCAGAACACGTCCATCGTGGGTGACAACCTAACTCACACTGGCTTAAGCCAAAACGAGCAGTTGCAGGCTCCTTGAAATTCAGGGGGTGTTCTAGGCTTCAGGAATGACCAAATCCATGGTCTCAAACAAGGTAACAGGGTTTTGTCTCTCACCCTCTCTTTCCCCAACCCCCATCTCCCTGTTTTTTCTTCTTTTTCCAGGAAAATGGACACCAGTAACTCTTCTAGCTCGCAACCTAAAAGCAAGGTACGATCTCTTCCGACGGCCCCATGTCGTGTCTCATGGAGGGAATCTGATGGGCCCTGCCTGGGCCACTTCCTTCAACCAACCACTGTGGACAGGGAGGAAGGGTCAGTGATGGCCTGGGCCTGGATCATGGGCACACTCCCTTCACCCAGCGGGTATGGGTGAGGGGCACAGTGATCGCCTGACTCAAGTGACTCAGAACTACATGGGTGGGCGTTTCCTGATTGAAAAAGGGGTGATCCACAGACCAAAATTGCATATATGCATGACTATTAACGTCCCCACCTTACAGATGCAGAAATGGAGGTTAGCCGCCAGCCTGCCCAGGGTCTCATAGCAAAGCCACGTGGGTCTGTCTGCAGGCTTGAAGTTCTTATCAGTACTGGAGGGTGCCTCTTCCCCTCCTTATCCCTCGGGATCCACAGGCAGGATCATCTCCCTCTCCAAAGCCAGAGCAGTCCCCGGGCCCCAAGCTAGGCCCTGGCAGCAACACCACATCCAACCCAAACCAGCCCTTCTCAGGGCACCCAGGTCGCCCAAGGCAGAAGACGCCCCCAAAGATCCTCTCTTCCTGACCCTGCCTGCACCAAGAGGCAGGCTACAGCTTGCAAATACGAAGCTGACCAGCCCAGCTGACCCCCAGGTGAAACTCTTCCTTGCTTTTGGAGTGAAGACTCAGACTTTCACCTCAGGAACACCTGGCTTCTGCCCACCTCTCTGGCTTTGTCTTCTGTTCTCTGTCCCAGTTACACTGTTCGTGCATTCTGTGAAAGTACCTTGCTTCCACTCACCCCAGGACCTTGGCAAATTCCGTTCCCTCTGCAAATTCCATTTCCTCTTCTCTTCCCCTGGAAAACGCGTCCTTCAAGTCAGCCCCTCAAGGAAACCGTCACGTCTCCATCGTCAGGGTCGGTGTCTCTGCTCAGACCACTCACTGTAGTCATGAGAATACATTCATGGGTAATTATCTGGTGAAAATCTGTCTCTCCCAAGAGCCTGTAAACTCATCAGAGCAGGGACCATGTCCGTGCTTCTGCTCACCATTCCTAGCTCTTAGCCCAGGCCCTGGCCCGGAACAGAGCCTCCAAAACATTTACTGAATAAATTTGAAAGGAAGAGAGAAAGAGAGGGAAGGAGGGAGGGAGGGACTTTCTGTGCCTCAGATGAGGGCTCCATGGAGTAAACCACAAGTATTTCAAAGATGTTGATTAAACTCTGAAACCAGGATGAACATGAAGAAAATGAAACTATTACCAGCATCAGAGGATTTATTGGCTGAGCCCGGCTGCTTTTCAGGAGGATTCCCTGAGTTCTCATTTACGGGAACCACAGGAAAAAAGTCCTAGGGGGAGAGGGGAAGAGAAGGAAGACAGGTAGGAAGGATAAGATAGAGGGGTTGGGGGCTGAGGGTGGGAAGGGGAGAGGAGGGAGGGTGGGGGGAGCCCACCCCAGCCGGTGGCTTTCCAGGAGGAGGGCCTGTAAATGGTGCAGGATGTCTCCTGCAAGCCCACACCAAAACACACAGGTACACCATGCCCAAGCGATGTCATGCTACGGGCTGTGACAGGTTGTCCCATGGAAGGGGGACGGAAAGTTGCACCCATGGCACGAAGTGCTAAGGTATTAAGGCCTTCGGTGGGAGGCGTGCTCACCAAGAAAAAGGAGACAAGCTCAGGACAGACATGGGGAGGGAGCAGGAAGGGTGGGGAGCGTGTCACACCCTTTCTCTGCCACAGGTGACCCACGGCTCTGGGCCTCTGTTTTCCCCTCTGGTTATGGTGGCAGGATGAAGGGATGTTTGTTGCTAAGACAGCAAAAGGTGGTCTGGCGGCCGGGAGCGTTCCTGGCATGATTAATTCATGTTCTGAACAAATGAACAGGAGCTGGCATTGCTGGAGGGGCTGGTGTACTCACAGGCGGCGGGGCCGGGGGCCTTGGGGTCTGGAATCTGGCTTGAGCTGTCAGCGAGTCACTGGAGGGAGGAACAGACACAGCATGCGATGGAGTTTCCTTGAAGTTCCTGCTGTCCAGCTCAGGTACTAGGAGATCAGAGGAGATGCAGTGTCATCCTTGGTTTTACTGTACAAAATAGTAAGTAGGTGTCCTGTTTGGGGGTTGGAAGGGACCTCAAGCCAGCATGGGGCCTCTCGGATACCATTTTGTTGTTGTGGTTTCTTTTTGGTTTTTTTGAGCAAGAAGGGGTTTACAAAAAGGCAGGGATATGACGGAAACAATGGAAAGAATGACTGCAAAAAGAAGGGAAGAACCCCTAAAGTAGAAACAAGATGGGTGAGATGCCTGGTGAATTTACTGAGAGGAAACCAAGTAAACCTCCTTCACCAGGGTGGGCGTGGTGGCTCATGCCTGTAATCCCAGCACTATGAGAGGCCAAGGCAAGAGGATTGCCTGAGCCCAGGAGTTCAAGACCAGCCTGGACAACATAGTGAGACCTCATCTCTCTAATAAATCAAAAAGCTAGCCAGGCATGGTGGTGCACAACTGTAGTTCCAGCTACTTGGGAGGCTGAGGTAAGAGGATCACCTGAACCCAAGAGGTCGAGGCTGTAGTGAGCTGTGATCATGCCACTGCATTCCAGCCTGGGCAACAGAGTGAGACTCTGACATGAAAATAAAATGAAATAGCAAAATAAAAACTCCTCCACCAACTTCACTCCTATGCCTCCATGCTTTAGCAGTCTGTTCTATGCTTGAACTAATGTGGTCCCTTCTGATAGGCTACAACGGGACATTTATTGGCTCACGTAACTGAAAAGTCCCAGGATTTAACAGCTTCAGGTATGGCTGGATCCAGAAGCTCAAGAAGTCTCATCAAGACTATTTTTTCTCTCTCCATCTCTTGGATCTGCTTTCCTCTGTGCTGGCAGGATGTCTACAGTCCTGACAGGAGTGGTGTCAGCCACCTCTGCCTAAAGAGTGCTTTTCTTTCCTAATAGTTTCCCGAAAGTATCAGGCCTGAGTCTTATCAGCCAGGCTTGGGACATGCGTCATCCCTGGAGCCAGGAATAAGGGGTCAGCCTCACCCAGATAGAGGTGCTATTAGCCAAATGGTGACGGATGGCTGTTGTGCCGACACAAACAACAGATGTGACCACAGAAGCTGTGCTGATAGCCACAAGATGACAGCACCCCTCCCCCAAGAATTTGAACACAGATGCCAGTTGCTAGGGAGGGACACTGAGGTCACGGCACACGTTGGTCCTATCCTGGAACAGAGAGAGCCGAGTGGGTAAGATCCCATCTGGCTGGCCTTCTCGGAGACTTTTCTTGGCAAATCCACCCTGGTGTTTCCAGAATTCCCGGACCTTGAAGGAGGCCCAACAAGACTGTACTCCAAGGCTGTTCATTCATTCCTTACTCTCTCACCCCCTCTTGACTCCTCAACCCTCCGCCCTCCGGCTTCTTCCCGGATCTCTGAGGGGACTGTCCTTATGAAACTCACCCACGACTGCCCTCTTGGCGGTCCTACCAGTAGGCTTGCTGGATGTCTCGGGAGAGCCCTTGGGATCTGCCTTCCCCTATTCTGCGCTCGCACCTGCTGTGAGCCGTCTCCTCCTGTGGCTTCAGTCTCCAGCCCTCCGTGGGTTCCCATCCACGTTCATACCAGGACCTCTCTGCTGTGGTTGGCTGCTGTCCCCTGGCACCTCGAACTCAGCCACCACGCGAACGCCTCCTCAGCCCCTCCCCGGCTCGTTCCTCCAGACTCCCCCGCCGGGGGCCGGGACCCCCATCCACCGGTTCCCTGGACCTCGGCCCTTCCCCCCCGGGCTCCTCCCCCGACCTCCCAGCAGTCTCCTGCCGCCCACCCCCGCCGGCAAAGGCCCACCCGCCCTGTCGTCCACCTGCCGGCAGACCCCTCGCAGGCAGAGCTGCTGGGGTCATTTTCGCGGCTTCCCCGCTCTCAGGGATAAGTTTAGAGGAAATACAGAGGACAAAGGGGCCTGTTTAAACGTACCCAAAAGGTGCCTCCAAAATCCCGAATGGGGAAAATTCAACAGAATCATGACCTGGTTTCTCAGATAAACAGAGGGCAAAGAAAAAAAACGAGAGAGACCCGTGGATGAAAAGAAACTCGAGGTTTTACCTACGGATCTTGTTTGGAATCCCAACTCAGATCAGCCCTTGAGGAAGAGAAGTCTGTCACCATCAAGGCACCTCCCACGGCTCAGAGCCCATGGGCTCTGGCATCCTCCAGCAGTCGGATCTTCCTAAGGCAAAACTGCTCGTGTCATCGTAGTGGCTTCCCACCCCTCTTAGGGGTAAAGTGCCACTCCTCACCGGAGCATTTAAGGCCTGGCTGTGACCCCAGCCCTGCTTGCCCCTCCTGCCTTGCTTCCTTCTGGCCACCCGTCTCACATCGCGTCTGCCCTGCTGAACAGCTTGCCTCTGGTCTTCGCGTGGGCTGTTCCCTCTCCCGGGGTGCCCTCCCTCCTGCCTCGCCACTGGTCTTTCCGTCCCCGTCCTCCGGGGCTCCTCTTCTGTATCACTTCCTCCAGACCAACTTCTCTGGCCAACCCCAGTCTAAGCGAAGTCCCTCGTCCACTCAGTCAAGCAATCATCAGTTCTCTAGGGGAGATGGTGGTGGAGTTCAAGTTCTTGATGAATGGGGGAAGTTCCCAGGAGGAGAAGGGAAATCGGTGAGTATATTTTTAGCCCAGAAGACTTTCTTTTTGATACTTACTTTCCAGACAGAATGCTATTAACTTCTCACCCTGAGTCACCTGCAGCTGTGATGGACACTGAGGTATACCAGCAAACGAGACAGACCCGTGCCCTGTCCTTGAGGAAATTATCATCTCATAGGAAGAGGGATATTCATAAACGATTTGGCAACATGTAATGTCTACTGTCCCTAACCCTCTTGTGGCTGACTGCATTTTCCAAAGATGGCTGCACCAATACATATCCCATTCCATGTGGTCTTGTGCTTTCTGTTTTCTTTTTTGAGTTGGGGTCTTACTCTGTGCGGTGGCATGATCACGGCTCCTGCAACCTCCACTTTCTGGGCTCAGGTGATAAGTAGCTGGAACTACAGGCATGTGCCACCATGCCCGGCTAAATTTTTTTTTTTTTTTTTTTTTTTAGAGACGAGTTTTCACTGTGTTGCACAGGCTGGTCTCAATCTTTTTGGGCTCAAGCAATTTGCCTGCCTCAGCCTCCCAAAGTGCTGGGGTTACAGGTGTGAGCTACCACACCTAGCCCAATATGGTCTCTTTCAGTGTTCCCTATCCTTGAATCTGGAAGGACTGGACTTTGTTTTGTTGTTTGTTTGTTTGTTTTTAGTGTTACTTTTTTTTAAAGATGTGGGGTACAATTCAGGATTAGGTATACAAGTGGTTATCATACAGGTAAAGTTTGGGCCTCCCTTTGGTCCCAACTTTGCCTGGTTTGAGATCAGGAACCCTTATTGATGTTGTATTCCACCCCACGCCGGCAGTATCCCACTATTGCCAGTCCCTTTCTTATAGTATTATGGTAAATGTTTAGGGTCCGCTTATGAATGAGAACGTGTGGTGCTCAGTTCTTTGTTTCTGTGATAGATCACAGAGAATTACAGACTCTAAATCCTTCCAAGTTGCTGCAAAGTCCGTATGTTTGTCCTTCTTTATGACTGCATAACAGTCCATCGTGTATCTGTAGAACTGGACTTTGTAATTGCTATGACCAATAGAATGTTGTGGGAGTGACATTGAGTGACTCTCAAGTCCATAAAAGTTTCTGTCAATCTTTCTTTCTTTCTCCCTCTCCCTTTCAGTACTCTTCTGTTGGGAATCCAGTCACCATGTTGTGAGAAAGCCCAGATCGCATGGAGAGGCCACAGAGAGGAATCCTAGCCAACAGCTCCAGCTACGGTCTCAGCCACCAGACAGCATCAACTCATGCGAAGGGACACGTCTTCAGATGAACCCAGCCCCAAGTCTTTGACCCCTCCAGCCGAGTCCCCAGACACCACGGAGCACAGAGAAGCCACTGCATTGCTCTCCAGAAAATTCCCCATCCACAGAATCCATGAGCCTCAGCCAAGAGTGACAGTTTGATGTCACCAGGTTTTAGAGCAGTCTGCTCTGCAGCCACGGCTATGACACCACTTCCCCAGGCTCCCCTGCAGATAAGGACACTGGACAGGAAGTAAAGTGAATCAAACACAGCCCATCTCTGTCCCTGAACAGCTAGTGACCCGCGCTAGCTGTGTGGACTTGGGCAAGTCATCTCCCGTCCCTGAGCTCTTAGTCTTCCCACGTGTGAAGTGGGGGATGGGGCCAGATGAGTTCCAAGACCCTGGGAAGCTGGAAAATTCTACCGACAGAGACTCTTTATGGAATGACCCTATTAAAACCATGTCAATTGATATGGCCAGGGCTGAGCGTTTAATTGAAATGCTTGATTTTTTGGTTTTGTCTTTCTGGGAGGTGAGCTCAACGAAGGCCATTAGGAAAGCAGAGGGCTCCTCTGATGCATAATCCATGAAGGGAGAGTGGGTCTGACCCGGCAGGTCATTTGGATCAAAATGCCATAAACATAAAATATGTGACCCCTCCCCGTCTGCCTCCCCCCATCCCTTCCACTAACTAATGGAGGCGAAAGGGTGAATTAAACTGGAGTTCAGGTCAAGGGTCTAAGTTGATTTATTCCAGAATGGTCATTCTCTCCAGCCCCTGGAGTCACAATAGACATTGCAAATGTCCAGGCAGTCTTGTCCTCACCCTCGGGCACCCCCATCCCAGTGGTGAGGCCTCTCCCTGGGGAGACAGCCTCACTTTCTAATGACTTGCCCAATTAGGAAGCATACGAGCCTGGCAAGAAGACACCTTGTCAGCTTCAAAACCTTTGGGGAAATTCCCCAAAGGTCCAACCTGTTTCACAGAGGCAAGGGGAAAAAAGCAGCCAGCCTGTAATGAGTGTAATAACCTGTTTGGATTCCACCTGCCTGTGATTTCCCAGCGTGCTCAGCCATTCGTGTATTCACTCACTCAGGCAACAA